ACTAGGACTAGCAAAGGGGTCCTTGGAAGCAGACTTACAGCTATCTGCCACAGTGCCTGTGCTGGAGGAACTCTCCCCCAGCCAGATCTCGGCAGTGAAGGGGCTGGCGCAGAGGTGAGAATATTACTAAGTCATCTTCTTCAGGAATATGAAATTCATAACACATTAAAAAACAAGAAGAAAAGCAAAGCTGTTATTTCTTTCACACAGACCCGCATTCTGATTAGAAATAAAGGGCTCACTTTTAATTGTTTTTTAATCAGAAGGAGCCTTCCTTCCTAGTCCAGTTGCATAAATGAATGACCCATGAATTTCTGGGTCAGCTAAATACATCTTGTATTATGATAATTTGTTCCAGGACCATATTTGTACATAAGAAGATTTTTATAATTTCAGTTACCTACATTCTTCTTTCCCAGCCTCTTAACAAAAAAAACAACAAAAAAACCAGCCCACTGTAATATGAAATTTGTTGTAGCCTGCAGAGATTTGTTGTTATGAGTATCCTTAAATGAACTAGAGCTTCTGTCCAACTGATGTGTAGGAGGGAGCTAAGACGCCCAGGTATGCTGTTGATTTAGAAAGCACCCTCCTGGGGATTTTTATCTAGTAAAACTATTTAGGACATTTGCATTAAAATACTCCAGTTATCTCACGGCCTCCTAGTTCTCTATTCTTCACTTTTGCTAATGATATCAACTTTCTTCTTTTCCCAGTGTTGATTATATTCTTGATTCTAATAAAACTGAATAAATAGAATGCCCTTATCCTCTCCCTAATTGTTTCCATCATTCAGTTTTCACTCCTGACTTCTTTGGATATTTTAACTAGCCTGTATGAGATAACGTTTTGCTTTGATAGTCATTAATTAGGGTAGGGATAGGGTCCAGAGTGACCTAGACAAATTTGAGGATTGGGCGAAAAGAAATCTGATGAGGTTCAACAAGGACAAGTGCAGAGTCCTGCACTTAGGATGGAAGAATCTCAGCATTGCTACAGGCTGGGGACTGACTGGCTAAGCGGCAGTTCTGCAGAAAAGGACCTGGACATTACAGTGAACGAGAAGCTGGATATGAGTCAACAGTGTGCCCTTGTTGCCAAGAAGGCTAACAGCATATGGGTAGGAGCACTGCCAACGGATTGAGGGAAGTGATTATTCCCCTCTATTTGGCACTGGTGAGGTCACATCTGGAGTACTGTGTCCAGTTTTGGGCCCCCCATTACAGAAAGGATGTGGACAAATTGAAGAGAGTCCAGCGGAGGGCAACAAAAATGATTAGGGGGCTGGGGCACATGACTTACAAGGAGAGGCTGAGGGAACTGGGGTTATTTAGTCTGCAGAAGAGAAGAGTGAGGAGGGATTTGATAGCAGCCTTCAACTACCTGAAGGGAAGTTCCAAAGAGGATGGAGTTTGGTTGTTCTCAGTGGTAGCAGATGACAGAACAAGAAGCAATGGTTTCAAGTTGCAGTGCGGGAGGTCTAGGTTGGATATTAGGAAACACTGTTTCACTAGTAGGGTGGTGAAGCACTGGAATGGGTTACTTCAGGAGGTGGTGGAATCTCCATCCTTAGAGGGTTTTAAGGTCCAGCTTGACAAAGCTATGGCTGGGATGATTTAGTTGGGGTTGGTCCTGCTTTGGGGCCTCTTCCAACCCTAATCTTCTATGATTCCATGATTCTCTGAATTCAGGTTTACGAACAATGGTGAATGTAGCTAAATCTACAGCTGTTGTCTTAAAGGGATCCCATGGCATCTAACTTATTATGACTGTAGTGACAGTTGAAGACTGGGATTTTCAAAAGGGACAAAGAGTTAGGCGTACAAATCTCACTGAAATTCAATGGGAGTTAGGTGCCTAACTCCTAGACTCCATGGCAAAGCCCAGCCTAAAGCAATATAAGGTATGTGAAGACTTTTGCTGTGCTGTATGTTTCATCATTCCGGACCAGATCCTAGAGTTACAAGGTGTTTTGCACTGCACTGCTGGTATACTCTGCTTGCAAAACCTGTAGAAATCAGGGCAGAAATCGTGTCTTCTTATTTGTCTGTAAGCAACCACCACACTTTAGTGTGCTATATGAAGCCCTGACTATCTGGTGAGTTGTCTGCTTTATACTGCCCTTATGGCAGAAAACAACCCTGTAGCTGGTGGAAACAACCATTGGAAGATACCCCTGCACAGGGGAATCCTTGAGTGTCATAGAGCCTCTGCAGCACTCTGAAGCCACCTCACTCCGGGCCAGTGGTTCAAGGGGCATGACCAGGAAAGGGAGTGTCACCAGGACATCCCCTGCATCTGGTTGATCCCTGGCTGCTAGGACTGCTCTTAGAGGTCATTGACTACTGGTGTAGATTAAAGGAGCCATTAGACTACTTTAATTTAGGACAGGGACTGGACGAGTGCCCACTATCCCCAGGATTTGGGAGGCACAAGGTGACTTATAATCACCTTACCACACTCCCGCCCCTCTCCAGACTTGCACCGAGTGCTCCTTGGCCTGTTCAAAAAATCTTGGCCAATAGATAATATTAGAATTTCAAAACTGCAGAAACATTGAGCATATAATAAAAGCATTATATGGAAAATAAACCATAAATTACCAAATCTCCTCCCCCCCACCCTGAAAAAACAACAACTCTAGTAACTTTCTGTTGCTTCTTTCTTCTACAGAATGAAAAGCCAAACTATGCAAGTTATGAAATGAGCACCAGTCTCCAATATTTACAGACCTCCTCCCCCCATCATAACACAATATGGTACTACAGTCAGTCCTTGCAATGCCAAGATGACAGCAGACTGAGGGATTCTGAAATGCTTCGGCAATTCCTTCTGGCTTTTTTTTTACATTGTTTCAATGGTCTGAAAAATCATCACCTTTTGGTGCAGTGGAAGCTCAGAACAGGCTGAGTGAAGACACCAGTGCTGCCATTGTTCCAATGCACTGCCATGGTGCAGTCTGATCCCTGTCACTGGCAGCCAAGAAGCCAGCCCATCTATACTATGCACGGGCAATATGTGGCTGCTTAGGGTTTGCAGAAATTGGTCATTGTAGCTGACTGATCCTTGTAAGTCAGAGTTGGGCAAACTACGACCCGCAGACCACATCCATCCTGTGGGACCATCCTGCTGGCCCTTGAGCTCCCGGCCAGGGAGGCTAGCCCCTGGCCCCTCCCCAGCTGTCCCCCATCCCCCGCAGCCATGCTGCCATGCGGGCAGCGCTCTGGGTGGCGGAGTGGTGCAATCCTGCCGAGCATAGTGGCAGCGTGTCTAGCTCCAGCTTGGCGGCGTGGCTGCCAGACATGCTGCTCTGAGCGGCATGGTAAGGGGGCTGGGGCCAGGGGGGTTGGATAAGGGGCGGGGAGTCCCAGGGGGCAATCAGGGGACAGGGAGCAGTTGGATGGGGCGGAGGTTCTGGGGGGGGCGGTCAGGGGATGGGGAACAGGGGGGTTGGATAAGCATGGGAGTCCTGGGGGGCCTGTCAGGGAACGGGGGTGTAGATAGGGGTCGGGAGACAGGGAACAGGG